TTGTAAAAGTTCCCTCTCTCCACAGGAAAGCCCGGCGCAAGGACCGTGACAATCCTGCTGCACTTGAACAGGAGCACAAGTTATATTTGGAGGAAGCTGTTCTTGAGAGGAAGATACCTGAGACTGATCTCAGGCAACTTGTAGAGTTACCTCCGGGACTTGGATATGAGGAGTGGTTGGCATCTCATAGTAAGTATCTGGCTGTATGGTTCTTAAATAGGTTTTGATGTTAATAATGCCCCGGCATCATTGCAGGCTAATGGTTTAGAATCTGTTTATAGACTTTCGAAAGGTTAGCGTAATAGTTGTATGTACTTGTTGAAATTTTACATATTTTTACAGTATGTATGTTTTATGATGGAAAAAAAAGTCAGGAAGAAATAGAGTTTAACATAGCATTATATGTTATTTTAGTTCAATTCTGTATATGTGACTTAGATATGTTTCATCATGTTCTTTAAGTGAGTACTGTATCTGTATTATTTGAAGTACTGCATAGTTGTCTTATGTGTCTGAAATGTTAGTGTCATTTCTTAAATAAGTACTAGATTTGCATCTATGTTCCTGCAATTTTCATTGAAAAGATTCTTTTTTACTCAGGAAAATTTTGTTAGAATAGTGCATGCATTGTACTTGAGAATGCATGTATTCTGGTTATTTATATTCAAACAGACATGCATACCAATTCATGTTCATGTTATTTTGGATATTGGTGCAAACATACTGGAGGATATACATGCAAATGACCAACAATTATATTGACAATCAGGCTTTTATAATTGCAGCATTCACACATATATGTTCCCCAAAGATCATTTTAATATCTTAACATACAGAATGAAATGTACTATAAGATACTAAATTTCAGTAAGGAGAAAGCAAAATATAAAATTGCTGATCTGTATCACATAATGTGCCTTCAACAATATTTTGTATATACATCAGATATTTGACTGCTTTTAGTTGCATGCCTTTGAGAATACATGATCATGAGTAATTATAGTTAGTACATCTATCACCAAGGTAGGTCATATTTTTAGCCCATTCCTGCCCAAAGGATTGCATTGTGCATGTACACAAACTCATACACACACACGCAATTACACATGGGCAAACACATAAGCACATGCATACACATGCACGCGTACGCACTCACGCGCGCGCGCACACACACACACACACACACACACACACACACACACACACACACACACACACACACACACACACACACACACACACACACACACACACACACACACATACATACACATTCACTCACTCAAACACACATAGACACAGACACATACATAGACTCAGACACACTCATAGACTCAGACACACAAGATACACAGATACGCATATAGACTCAGAAACACTTAGACAAAGACTCACATAGGCACAGACACACATAGACAGACACACATAGACATAGACACACACAGACATAGACACACACAGACATAGACACACACAAACATAGACACACATAGACATAGACACACATAGACATAGACACATACAGACATAGACACACACAAACACAGAAACACATAGACATAGACACATAGACATAGACACACATAGACATAGACACATACAGACATAGACACACACAAACACAGAAACACATAGACACAGGCATACATAAACACAGACACAAACTTAAACAAAGACACACATAGACACAGAAACGCATAAATATACACACATATACACAGACACACACACACAAACACAGACACACACATAGACACAGACACACACTTAGACAAAGATATACACATGGACATAGACACACATAGATAGACACACACATAGACATAGACACAGAAACACACAATCAAACAGACACAGACATAGACAGATACATAGAAACAGACATAGACATACATCCATGGAAACAGACACACATAGCCATAAACACATAGACACAGGCACACACAGACTGACACATAGACACTGATGCACACACAGACTCCACAGACACACACACACACACACACACACACACACACACACACACACACACACACACACACACACACACACACACACACACACACACACACACACACACACACATACGTACATTCACTCACTCAAACACACATAGACACAGACACATACATAGACTCAGACACACTCATAGACTCAGACACACAAGATACACAGATACGCATATAGACTCAGAAACACTTAGACAAAGACTCACATAGGCACAGACACACATAGACATAGACACACATAGACATAGACACACACAGACATAGACACACACAGACATAGACACACACAAACATAGACACACACAGACATAGACACACATAGACATAGACACATACAGACATAGACACACACAAACACAGAAACACATAGACATAGACACATAGACATAGACACACATAGACATAGACACATACAGACATAGACACACACAAACACAGAAACACATAGACACAGGCATACATAAACACAGACACAAACTTAAACAAAGACA